GTGCCCTTGAAAATAATCAGACATGGGTTTTGGAATCTTTACCTGCAGGTAAAAAGGCCCTAGGGTGCAAATGGGTCTATAAAATTAAACATCGTTCCGATGGGACGATTGAGCGCCTCAAGGCGCGATTGGTTGTCTTTGGCAACCATCAGGAGGAGGGCATTGACTACACTGAGACATTTGCTCCCGTAGCTAAAATGGTTATGGTCAGGACATTTCTAGCCGTTGCAGCAGCTAAAAATTGGGAATTGCATCAAATGGATGTTCATAATGCGTTTCTTCATGGTGATCTGAACGAGGAGGTATACATGAAGCCTCCCCCCGGATTCTATCCCACTCAGCCCGGGGTAGTATGTCGGCTGAAAAAATCTCTATATGGGCTACAACAGGCTCCCAGGTTTGCTAAGCTAGCTGCCTCTCTACGTGACTATGGTTTTTCCAGTCTTATTCAGATTATTCGTTATTTATTTTTCGGCGTGGTGACACCTGCTTAAATATTCTCATTTATGTGGATGATCTGATTATTGGTGGAAATAATTCTAAAATCCTTCATGATTTTAAACAATATCTGAGCTCATGCTTTCACATGAAGGACTTGGGTGTGCTTAAATATTTTCTTGGCATCGAGGTGGCACGCAATTTTGAGGGCATTTATTTATGTCAACGCAAATATGCACTGGACATCATCTCTGAAACTGGCTTACTCGGTGCCAAACCCGCTGGCTTTCCAATAGAGCAAAATCATACACTAGCTTTGGCTACGGGGCCAATCCTTATTGCACCAGAGTCTTATACGCGCCTTGTTGGTCGTCTAATTTATCTCTCTTTTACACGCCCGGATTTGGCATATGCAGTTCATATTCTTTCTCAGTTCATGCAAGCACCTTGTCAGCAACACTGGGATACCGCACTTCGGGTTGTTCGTTACTTAAAGGGAACCCCGGGACAGGGAATACTTCTGAGTTCTGCTTGTGATCTGGCCTTAACAGAATGGTGTGACTCTGACTGGGCTAGTTGTCCACTCAGTCGCCGGTCTCTCACTGGGTGGGTAGTGTTCCTTGGTAATTCTCCTATCTCTTGGAAAACCAAGAAACAACACACCGTGTCTCGTTCCTCTGCTGAGGCCGAGTATCGTTCCATGGCGGCTCTTACGGCAGAATTGAAATGGCTTAAAGGTCTACTCCTTAGCCTTGGTATCACACATCCTCGGGCCATGTCCTTGTACTGCGATAGCAAATCCGCTCTTCACATAGCCTAGAATCATGTGTTTCCGTATGAAACACATTGAGGTAGATTGTCATTGTGTTCGTGATGCGGTTCAGGAAGGACTTATTACTACACATCATGTCTCGACTACTGATCAACTAGCTGATATTTTCACCAAAGCTCTGGGAAAACGACAGTTTATGTTTCTTCTTCGCAAGTTGGGCATTTATAACCCGCATGCTCCAACTTGAGGGGGGGTGTTGGGCGTTCGGGCTTTAGGCCGGCCTTAGGCCTTACATGAATTTGTTCTGTACTTAGTTTATATTTTGGGCTGCGGCCACTTCATCAGACTAGGGCTTTGTATCTAATGTATCTTGTATAAATATTGCTCAATACGTATGAATGAGAACAAGGGGGGAAAAAGATTTATTCCAAAATAGCCAAAACATATTAGCTAAGCTTTTTGTTTCTTAGTAAGGACATTTACTAATGAATATGCTATGGTTCTACTACAATGATTTAATTTGTTTAGGCTCCACAACAATGACTTAGAAGTTTCAACTTAATTTGTTTTGATTTTTCTTGTTTTGTTGGCTCACTTTTTTCTTTTCCCTTCATCTGTGCATTTTGCAATTCGATCTGGGAATTTACATTAACAAGAAACATGAATAAACATTAAGAAACAAAACACACAAAATTAGCACACAAAAAAAAAGAAAAAAAAGGAAACACAAAGCTTCTCTCCCATTCATTATCTTGTTTCTCTCCCAGTCAGGATGTTTTTACTTGGACTGTAATTTGCTGGTCTGGTCTAGTCTGGTCTGGGGCAAATTACAGTCTAAGTAAAAACATCCTCATTTGTGATTTCCTAACTTCCTAACATAGTCTTAGACTAATATGTTTAGGAAAACATCAGCTATGCATGGAGCGCCTTGAACAATGAATGTTGATTTGGAGTCAGCACTGTTTGGGTTAGACTTCTTACCTTGCACTTGCTTCATGTTTCTAGGTAATGAAGCACCTCTTTGCTTAAAGGGAACCTTTTTCCCGTGACTGGTTCAATATAATATACTACTGCAGAAGCAAGAACAATTGAATAAGGGTGTGAATTTAAAGTGCAAATGGCTTTTACTTTCGGTTTTGCAAGGCCTTTGGGATTGTAACTCAATACAATTCAACGGGGAGCTAAACGCTTTTACTTTAGGTTTTGCAAGGCCTTTGGGGTTGTTTAATTATTAGCGTATTTGTTTCTTTCATCTTCATTTTGTACTCTTCTTAATAAATTTAATAAAATTTTTCACTTAAAATAAGTGCAAACGGTTCATCTCTCTCACAAGACATCAACCTATAAATGCATTATGCTCCTTATTGTGAGAATAATGGGAAAAGGTACTTCAATAAGAGTCATGACAAATATATTTATAATAGAAGATTTGTCAAACTACAAAGTATTCTTAAATATATATTAGGAAGATTCCTAAATATATTAGGGCTATTACTTATGACACAATTAAATGTTAATATTCTGGTATCTTTTTCAAAGAAAAGATGTCACTGTGTCCTAATAAGGGGACGAGGCGTATCGAAATGACTTATTTCTCATTAGAAATCCTTATAGTTTGATTTGTTTGGTAAAGAGAAGTATTGACTCCTTTGCGGATGGTAAAAACTGAGCATGTTAATTCCAAAGGAAACAAAAAACTGCATGAGGTGAAACACATTTTGAATTCCACAAGTCAAATTTTAGAAAGAAAAAAAAAACAATTGCTCCAACTTCTTAATCCACAAATCTCTACCACAAAGTTAGGAGAAATTTGATCAATTCTTGTATGCAAATTTTACAATAATAATTGATATGGATGCATATAACAAAATCCATAATAAATGCCAAAAAAGTAAATGAATAATTTTCACCTCCAAATTTAATTATGATCATTCATATGACACCAATATTGCATATATGAATTTCAAAACGAAAATGAAGTTTCAATTGTTGGAGAGTTCTTTATCTAAAAATTTTCGAAATAGATTTAAGTGTTGAAATTAAGATCTCATCATTCAAGATTTTGTACAGCTATCAATTATTATTGTAATGTATTAGGAGTAGTTCCTTCTTAATATCGTACTCAATATTATGTGTTTTTCTAGTATTTGATTGTTAGTCTTCCAATTTAATAACATGTGTTTCAATTGATTCATCTTAATATTCAACAAGTACATAGTACGTAGTACTATAAATGAAAACTTAATAAGTTAATAATATATAGATAGAAAGTAATGGAATATTATGTGTTTTATTGAAATTTATTTCAAATTGAACTCAAGTGTACATTTTTAATACTTACAAAAAAAAACTAATTCACATTTTTTATGTTTTTTTACATCGGAATGTTTGAACTTGTAAAATCATAATTATTAGTAGAAATAAAATTGTGACATAAATGATGTGAAAAAAAAAGGATTTATGCATTCAATTAAAATAAAATGTGTTCACTGAATATATTGACGGTGATGAGTTTGTATGGAAAAACTGAATTGGAATTGAGTGAGTGAATACGTATAAATTGATGGGTCACGGTTGGCCTTAAGCTATTATGTTGGGCTCCTTACAACTCCGAGTGGACCGGTTTGTTCCCATTCATTTTGGTGTTGAATTGGAGTTCTGATCTGATATGTGAAAAGTTGCGGATTAATGAGTTATATAGCCAACGCACGTACTTAATTAGCAGTGTTGTGTAACTATCCAGTATCTAGTGAAAATGACCAACCAACCATTTCAAATCTTGAGGTTGTGATAATCAATTATTCATCAACAGTGGTTTATTTATGGTTTCAGATCCATAACTGAATGCCGTCTCTCTCATTCAATAATGGTCCATTATTTTCAGTTAGTTGTAATATTTGTTTCATAGTTTAATTGTAAACGGTGACCCTCAAACCACTGCACCTACCAATTGATCACGATAAACTCATCAAATCTTTTTGTCACGATAATGATATGCTTGCGTTTGGAAATGTTTGTTATCTGATCCAATTAAGTAAAAGTTGCTAGTTTTAAGTTTGCCAGAGGCTACGAATCCTCATTTTAATGGAGAGAAAATTGCCCCCAATGGCATGGTTCAGTACGTTTTCCCTCTGAGGTATAATAATGCTTCATCTTGATGCAACTCTAATATAATGGGATTTGCTTAACATACACCAACCGCATTCTAAATCAAATATATAGATCAAAATGTGATTAAAGTGACTATAATATACTCTTATGATGTAACATTTGAACATAATTAGGGAAATTGTCCTAAATAGGAATAATCAATTTTAAGAATTCCAAAATAGGACTAAAACTATTGTCATGATTGAAAAATATCGTCATTAATTATAATAAATGTTGTCATGTTGAACGAGTAACACAACTATTTGTCGGTCATGACTACAAGATCGTAGTACGTACTGTCATCTTATTCCTATTTTGAAAAGAAAAATAAAACAGTCTTATTTTGGAATATTGAACCTTATTTAGTCATATTTAAGAATCTCTCGTATAATTATAATCCCTAAAAGTTAATAAGTCACATTTTATCCACAATTTTATATCGGTCATATTAATGATGTACGTGGCTTTAGGTATGATATTAGGTATTACGTAGTATTTGTTTAGAAAAACATTTCTCATTTTATGATGAGGTTTGGTAGTTGTCACTTGTGATTTAATAATTAGCAGGATTGATTTCAGAATTATGAATAAAGTATTTTACCATGAGATCAAAATGCCAATTAAGTGCATGTACTGTGTGTAGATAACATAATGATCATTGATAGTATAAAGAAATGGATAGCTACATAAGAATCGTTTTGTTTTTTACGTTAATACTCCCATTCTAAAACATCATTTCTAGCTAGTTTCAAACGAACCACAAAAGAAAAAGCGAAGTGATCCCTTGCTAATATATGTATAACAGCTAGAACAATTATCCTCAGCCTTTAATTAATTGCGTTCCATACTACGTATATTTAATGAGTTAGCTAGCTCGATCTTGATGACATGATGAATTCAAATCACAGAACAATAATCTATCCCGATTGATCAAACGGTGCCTGCGGAACTTTGAACCTCATCTTGAGCTTCCTGTGCGGCGGCAGAGGAGGACAGAGTAGGACTGGTGACGGAGCAACTGGAAGAACAAAAAGATAAAGGAGAGGTAAAAGAATGGGTTGCAGTGCAGGATTGCGAGAAACCATTTCCATCCCCTGAAGAAGAAGAAGAAGCCATAGAAAGGGAAACCAACAAATCCACAAAGGCTCCCACAATGAATCCATGGTTTCTTTTCTCATTCATTTTGAGGTAGCAAGTCAACAGTTCTTCCAGAAACTCCCAGCCCAAGTCATGATGATGGGCTGCCACCATCTCCTCCATTGATCTCTTGAAGTCCAAAAGAGGGTCCATTGACTCCATTGACAATGCCACACTCTCCTTGATAGGGCATTCTTCTTCTTCCTTCACCGCCGCCTCCACCTCGTCGTCCTCTTTCCTCGGTTTAAAGCTGATGGCTTGTCCCGGCTGGAAGAACAGCCGTTCAGATGACTTCACCCCTTTGATGACATTCTCCACGCACTCGTCTTCCGAAGAAGACAAGTACTGATCACCAACGGCGGCGGCATTGGGTTCGCCGGAGGAGGTGGTTTTCGGACTCCACGGAGGACGTGTTGCTTCGGAAGATTTGGAGAAGAATGCTGGGACAAACTTCATCTTCTTCAAATCTTATAATTAATTGTTGTTTATATGAAACAGTACCGAAGAGAGGGGAGAAGGTAGGGGCAGAGGTTTTCTGATCTGCGTAGTAGTTTTTGTTAATGAGGCAATTAATGTTGCAACTTACCAGGGGGGAGTAGTTCAGTGGTAGATGTTTTATTTTAAAGAAAGGGGTGTGGTGAAAGGGTGTGTTTCTCACCATAAATTTATTACTACAACAAACTGACTCCAACAGTGAAACATATGTGTATATGACTATATGAGGTGGTTGGACGGAGGATGAATGGCATGGGGTGGGGTCTTTGAGTGCTCCCATAGTTTTTTTTTTCAAATCCATAACTAGGGTTGGGCAAAATGGTTTGGTCTGACCGAACCGAAATATGATGGTTTGGTTTGGTTTGGAATTCCCTAAATAAACCGTTTGGTAGCAATTTGGTTAACCTTGGACCCGGTTCGGGCCACCCGGCCCGCTACTGTGCGGGCCCGGCCCGGCCCGGCCCGGTGCTTTGGGCCCCAAACCGGTCTATGACCCGGTTGTATGGAATAAGCGGGGCGGGCTTGCGCTGCACAAATGGGGACCCGGCCGGGCTCGGTTCGGGCAAAAACCTTTTTTTTTTTTTTGTTTTTTTAGTTTTTTTGGGGTTCCCCGGGTTGGGCTTGATGTTTTGGGGGGGTTTGGGGGGTTTGGGGGTGGGGGGATAGTTAGGAAAGAAAAAAAATACAAGCCGGCCCGAGACCCGGCCCGAACCGGACCCGGTGGCAACCCGGGCCGGTCCCGGGCCTTCCCCCATCCACAAAAGGCCCGACTGGGCCTAGGCCTAGCCCGGCTCCATGCCTAAATTTGGTCAAACCCAATGGTTTGGTTTAGTTTAAAACCGAAAAAACCGTAAACCGAGCCAAACACTGAACAACTTCTATTTTTTTTTTAACCCGGAAGGCAAACCACCAAAATCAGTGGGGTAAATGCCGGAGAACATTTACCGAGTTTTATTAAGATGAGAAAGTTACAAGACGAAAGGGGGACTAGGCCAAAACCTTTCCCGGGAAGGCATTCCCTCCCGTAAATACATCCAATAAGCTGAGAAAGAATACCAAAAAACTAATGGGGGGGCTAGACCTGACCCGTTAGTTAAAACAATCAAAATCTAAAATACTTTATATTTTTCTTCACTCTTCGTCTTTAGGATATAATAATATAAATAAATAATTTTGACATGAAAAATACGAAACATATCTCATATTTTAACTTTTATACATTTCACACATCATTCTCTTTTCATAATAGATCATTTTTTCAATCTATTTGTTGCACTATATGTCTTTTGTTTTCACTTCCCTCCCGTTTTTTCTTCTCATTACCTTGAATCCACTATCAATATACTATACTTCTTCTCCGTTCCACATTATCATTTTTTATACAAGCCCATCCATTAACTCTATCAACTACGGAAAACTCTTTGATGGACTGTCCACCTAAGGGTAGCCAGAATTCGAGAAAGTAAGAGACCGAAAAGTGCTAAGTAAGATCGAGTAGAGAATTGGGCATAGTAACAACTTCTTATCGCAAAAATCAGATCCCTTTCCACAAGCTGGAAGGTGATTGATGGAGTTTAATTCCAACTACGAGAGCTAATCTATGAGAACAGATGAAATTTAGGCAGCGTAAGACAATATATTACTATTACTTTTTATTTTCTAGCACAAGAAAATAAAAGAATATCGGTGATATTAGAATTAACTAAGGTTAATGCTAAACAATTAACAAATAAAAATTTATATTTTAATTAGTTCGGTATATTCGATTCGGTTCGGTTTTGAAGGGTTCAAACCGAAACTGAACCAAATAACTACAATTCGTTTTGGTTTTTTACATTCGGTTTTGGTGTTTTAGCATTTCGGTTTTATTTGGTTGTGGTTCAGTTTATTTTGATTTGGTTTTCAGTTTTGGTTTTTCGGACCCAACCCTACCGAAGTCTACGTCCTTTTAATTGGAAACCAAAGCACACGTACAAATACTTTGAATTTGTAAAACAAAATACTCATGCAGTCATGCTGCAATGTGCATCATTTTTTTTGTTAAATGGTAGCTACACATACACAAACCATTATAGTAAGTATTCGTACATTATTATTAATTAAATTATGATAACTAAATCATGTCTAGTTTCATAATTTTCGTAATAATAAATAAATACTTTAACATTATCTTTAATAATTAAAGCTTGGAAATAATTGTTAAAATAATATTCCAAATATCATGTTGATCACTTAACTCCGTTTCCAATATATTTCATCATTTATCGATGACAAGTTTTTGAGTGAGTTAATTTATGCAATTTGGTACTCGTTAGAATTTTGAAAAGTGAAATAGTGTCCTAAATTAGGCATATTGTTTTTCAAATATATGGAACCTCTTCATTTCTTTTATCAAACTAGGCCTTGAAAGATATGCCAAGTTGCCAACGATCCATCTAGAATTTGAAAGATGAAAATTATCAATACACGACGGGAATGATTTAAATGCAATCAAAGATTCAAAATATCATAGACTTTTATTTCTTTCAATTTTTTATTTATTTTATTCATCTTTCAAACTCTAGATTGATAGTCAACTTATCTTTGAAGTCTCGGATTGATAAAATTTATATACTCTAATATAGTATATTTGTAATAAAATCTTACTAAATGCAATGTATGTATCGATGTGTGTATCACTGTATCATAGGATTCATAGTAAGGTTACCCTATAAAATTGTGACGCCTCAGATCCCTTTGATGTATATTGTATTCCACGCTTACCTAATTATACAATGCGTCGTGTGTACAATAGAGTACGAAAAATTGTTTACCAGAGCAAACTCCCATATGGCCATATCCCCATCATAATAAGTAGCACAAATATGAAGAACAAACTTCAACATATTAGGCAATCCTTTAATTTGAAGGGTTAGCACTTACTCCACTTAGCACTACTATCCCACTAAAAGGAAGAGGCATTATAGCGTCGAGGACGATTTGATAAACAGAATCAGATTGGATACACGATTATGGTTATGGGTATATATATACACTTATATTTGGATTCAAACATATCCTTTTGTAGTTAGTATTTACTTGTTTCAATTCTATGTTTCTTTTTAAGTCTTCACATAAAGTGCACATCATGAATACTTACACTTCTAATGAAAACCTTGAATGGTTTTTATATGTGATGATGACACACAAAGATTGAAACTAAACCGCAGAAAAACATTATATGCAAGGAGATCTTCGATAATCACATATAAATTAAACTTCTGAAATTGATTATTATTGATACAATTTATGATTATTGATAACTTGTGTGTTGAGGTTATATTTTATTTTCTATATACAAATGCACAAGTGCTTTGCTATATTCACATTGATAATATTCACAAATTACATCCCATGCAACGCACAGGTGAGATACTAGTAAACCTTAAAAGATTAAAAAAAAAGGACCAAACACAACCACTGAACCACATGTGGCTGCTATGATTGACCAGCCTTTTAAGCAACAAAAATGACTTCAAAGATTTTTGTGGCTGATTTTTTTAAGGAAACGTCCCTTTTGCCCTCAGTTTCTGTATTTCTCTATACATCAAAATATGCACCATATTGTTTTAAAGTAATAACACATCCAATTGTTCATTTCACCCTAAAAAAATCACCAAACTGGGCCTTGAGCAAGCTATTCCAGCCAGCTTGCTCTATACTTTGTAGTTGTCCAATTACCTGGCGTTACTAGGTTAGCTCCTTCCACCCCTCATTAGTTGTGCAGTGACTGGCAATGGCAGAGGCTTCACTTAACTTTACATGCGTGAAGTTAAGTGATTAGTTATTCCAGCCTAAAATGTTTGCAACTGTAACCAACAGTTTGCTCCAGTTCCGATTCAGATCGAAGGGATACCCCTGCTGGCCCTGCATATAGTTGTATGAAACGCCAGACCTAACTAATAGGGCAAGTAGGGTTGAACATCATATGAGGCAAAGAACGTGGAATTATCAATCACGTGACCCAAACAGACAGACAGACCAAGGCAGACTGTTTTTTGGCTTTCTAGAATCCCTTTCATTAGGCATGCATTATCCGATCATGCCCTTTCTTTTCTAGTGGGAAATGAAATCACACATTGGCTATATATGTGTGCAATTGCCGACAGGCTATGAAGCCAATATTGCTTTGCTGCACCATAATTACTCCACCCAATCCTCCATATTATGCTCCCAGACCAAATCTTGCAAATTCCAGAATATTGCAGTAATCTAGCCCGAAGTATTCAGATCGATTGATGTCTCTGACTCTAATAAATATCCAAGGATAATTCTTCTGTTGTCCATTTCGAAGAGTTCAATTCTACCCCATATAGTTTTATTTGTTTTAGCTGAACTCTGGTGAACCAATTTTATTTTCAATTTTTTTTATTGAGAATCTATCAATAAGAACACAGCTTTGCATTAAAATAGTACGGCGTAATACTTCTTGAAAAAACGTACAGTATCACGCAGCTATGTACTTAGGACCTGTTTACTTGGCTGTTTAAATCATCGTTAGTTTACTAAGAAGCATGAAGTAAACGTTTTAGGCTGGGTAAATAAATGCTTACTTAGCAATTTTACTTACTAATCGTCGCTTACGAAACGCAGCCCTCCCCCATGTTTTATTTAATCGGCCACTTAAGCCATTCTATATTGACCATCCTACCCTTATTTTATAGCGTTGTGGAATTTTTATTACAATCATACCCTAGCACATCTGCACATACTCGGCCGTCCTCATCCATTCCATTCATACGACATCGAAAGTTCTGCCATCTCCTCCTCTGACATCGTCTCTATAATCGCTTATCAATTATACGGAGCATATAAAACCTGCGTATAGTATATATAGATTTCGAAGGAAGAAGATAGATGCAGCGGAGTGAAGAAGAATATATTACCTCTATAAATCTTAATAGATGGAGACAGAGATCGAGAAATGGAGAAAGATGTTTGATGGTAGTCGATGCTCTGAAGTCAGGAACGCTTGAAATGCCCGGTAATAGGCATGAAACATCATCGGGTAGGGTTTTTATTACTTTGGGGTTAATTTCGACATTTCAAAGGTAAGCCATGTTTTTAGCCCAATGAAGCAACCGGACTTTTGATTCATTAGCCCTGAATTCATCATGAAGTAAACATCAATTTATTAAGCACCGCTTGCTATACAAGA